TAGCTTTGGTGAGGACTTGGGAATCCCTGAGCTTCTGGCATTTCTGCTGCCCTTGTGGAGGAACTTGGAAGGTAGAAGACCCTTAGGGCTGTTTCACAACTTCCCTCTGAGAAGATCGCTTGCCCCATATTTCTACCCTTCCTGGTTACTTCCAGCTCATGAGGAAGCTGACTCAGACTCATGAGTGGGCTCCCAGCTAATTTCTTCATTTTCTTTCCTGAATGTCATTCTGGTTCTGAGTGGCAGATGATGTCCTATTCACCTCTGACTTTTGGGTGACCCTAAGCTTGACACTGGGTTCTGGTGTGCTATGACCTTGCATATAGAGAAGAGTGCATAATGTCTTTGTGGATTCTCTGACATATACTTGTGTTTAATCATCTCAGTCGGGAATGGCTTATGTAATCCCACGTGACTTCGAGAGGCCTCTGCAATGCCTGGGCAAGAGCATGGAACATGGAGTGTGAGTCCGGAGCCCGAGCTCTGAACCCAGCTGTGACAGGGCTGGCTGTGGGTCCCTTGTCTTGGTAGGAGCTCGGGCGGCGTTCCTCCCGCTCACACACGCTGGCTGCTGTGCATTGCCTCTTCCTCCATAGTTGTCTGAGAACTGATCCAGGCAGGGCTGTGGTAGCCCGGCCTCCAGGTCTCCCCACTGCCCTTTCCATGGCCTGACATGCAGCAGGTGCCCCAAGTCCACGCTCAACTCCAAGGCCCTTGTGAACAGCACTTTACTTCTTCTGTTCGCTCACATCAGCACCCTTAATCATCAGGGAGAATCTGCAAAGTAGGCATTACATTATAACAGGATGTTAAAATGGGCTGTTTTCTGTCTCAGGTTTCAAAGGCTGAGAACAAAATAGCAGGTGTCATCCGGTGCTGCTAGACCGTACATGCAGGGCTCTCAAAGGAGTGGTCAAAAACTTGTTCCTCCAACACTAGCCCATCACTCAACTCCACCCATGTGAAAGAATGTGAACGATCTGTTTTCATGTTGTATCACAGTGGACCTTTTATTATCAGAAACATGGTGAGCTAGCTGTGCCTGAAGTCTGGTCCCAGGGTAGGACAAAATATCCACCTGCACAGGTATAATGATGCAACAGTTTTCTGTGGCTGCTGTAAAAATTACCACACATTTATGGCCTTAACACAACACTAATATACCATCTTACTGTTCTGTGGGTCAGAAATATGCCAGGAATCTTATTGAGCTAAATCAAGGTGTCAGCAGGCTGCATTCCTTTCTGCGGGCTCTCACCGGCTCTCAGGGGAATATTTCCCTCCTTTTTCAGTCTCTAGGGGCCACCTATATTCCTGCACTCATGGTCCCTTTCCTTTGTCTTCAAAACCAGCAATATCAGACCAAGTTCTTCTCATGCTGCCATCTGGCTGGTTCTCTTGTGGACTCCCTTTTCTACTTTTAAGAGTAGAATGTGAACGTTTTAAAACAATAACTGAGAAAATGACATGAAGGCTGTGTTGACCAGTTTGATGGAAGTATTTCGGATTGCATGTGAAAACCCCACACTGTACCCCAGAAGTGCATTAATGTACATAGTTACCATTCAATAATAATAAAAAAAAAGAACCATTGTGATTACACTGGAACCATCTGAGTAATTCCAGACAGTGTAAAGTCAGCAGATTAGCCTCCTCAACTCCTTCTGAAACCTTGACTTCCCCTGGCCATGTAGCCTTAGTTATTCACAGGTTCTGGGAAGCAGGACATATCCTTCTTTGGGGGCCCATTACTCTGTCTCCTGCAAATGTGGAATGGTGGGGGAAAAGGAAACTATTTCCAGCTTGCACGTTGCTAAGTTCACCAGTAAACTTAATTGAGTCCAGAGGAGGAAACTGAAGATCAGAGAGAGAGATAAGGAGAGAGAAGGGAGCCCATTCTTGACCATTCACTGAAATCCTCTAATGTCTGGACCACATTACCCCGGGATTCTGATCTAATTGGTCCAGGGTGTGGCGTAGGCAATAGGTTTTTGTAAGACTTCCCAGGTTATTCTAATGAATGACGTTGGCTGGGACCCACTGGGGTAAAGGAATTACTCCAATCCCTCTAGAAACCCGGTCAAGCATGGTACTGCAGACCAGTCCCTCTCACTACAAAGTCCCACTAAAAGGTTAGTGGAGGAGAAACCTTCGATATGTGTTCTGCAGAGAATTTTTACTTGAGCTAGAAACAAACTATGGTTAAAATCAAGGGAACAAAACATCAGGGGCAGAAAATATCAGGCATTCATTTCCTGATGGAAACAAGAAAACAGATTTTAATCTGGGGGAGAAAATGAGGCAGTGCCCCTAGGATAGAAACTGGTATAGGGTGTAGGACCTGGATAAATGTTATCACTGCTAATGTTGTTGTTATTTTTATTATCGCCAGGCTGGAGAGGTCATGCCAGAGGGGCCTCCCACATACGTGAAGCCTTGGCCCAAAGCCCACAATGGCCCTTCTGTCGTCTTCCCTGAGAGGGTCTGAATTCAGAGCCCTGCATCAGTCCGGCTCTCCCACCACAGTGCACAGCCCTCAGGTGTGGGTCTTGTGTTGACCTAAACTGTGTACCCCCAAAGACATCTCTAAGTCTTAACCCCTAGTATCTGTGGCTGTGAACATATTTGGAATTAGGGTCTCTGTTCATGTAATTAATGATCTTGAGATGAGATTATTTTGTACTTTAGGGTGGCCCTAAGTACAACGACTGGTGTCTTTGCAGAGAAAGGAGAGGGATATCTGACACCTGGAGAAGGTGACCATGTGAAGACAGAGGCAGAGATGAGGGGTCCCATGAGCTGAGGTGCACCACCAGTCAATGGCAGCCACTGAGAGGCCAGGAGAGAGTGGCCCTGTCAACACCTCCATTTTGGACTCCAGACTTGAGAACAATGAAAGAATCCATTTCTATCGTTTCAAGCCACTCAGTGTATGGTCATTTACGACAACAGCTATAGAAAACCAATAGGGGTCTGGACCCCTCAGGAGAGCCAAACGCAGCTGGAGGCTGAGTGATGCCTCCCAATGCTGGGTGCCCTCCATCTGTGACCCTCAGGCCCAAGCTTCAGCCTGGGTTCAAGGCAGCAGGAAGCACCAAGGCAGAACCTCTGGTGGTAGGGGATTCGTGAGCTCCTCCAAACGCAGCACACAATTTTACAGCCCTTGGAACTAAAGGAGAAAGACGTGCTTGAGGCCAACTCCAACCCTGGGCCAAGCCAGGGTGGTCCCAAGGATGGGAGAATGGAACCCACTCTTAGTAGTCTTGGCGACATTGTCTATCCAGTAACTGTGGGGACAGCAATATCTCAGCATCCAGGGGACAAGTCATGTCTGATGTATTTGGATCACAGTAGGGTTATTCCTTTCCCATTGCCAGTGAGGGTTTAAAAATGAGCACATGAGTAAGTTCTGGGCATAAGAGGGAGGCAAGGGGAATTCTGGGGACACCTGAGGAATATTTTCCTCCGAGAAAAGAAATAGTCACTGGAGTAAAAAGCCCGTTAGCCCCTTCCCCACTTGCTTATAGCACAAATACTGTTGGGGCGATGTGATGGCTGGAGCTTTGCAGCCAGATGTGTCACTGAGGTGAGATACCATTCATATGCTGAAGAGAGCAGAAAGGAAAGGGCAGAAATGGTCTTAGTCCTTGATGACATCATGGAAACAGAGCAATTCTGGGACCACCCACCTGCTGGAGCTTCCTTCTGGTTTAGAATTCAGTTGCTGTCACTAAACCATACTGTTAAAGAATAGAGCCTAAGAGTTTGGAGGCTGCTCAGAGCTGTCGGTGCTAGCAGTGGGTTGTGTGGGACTCAGGATGCGGCTGTGGGCTTATTTTTTATGATCTATGCAGTGTGGAGGAGTCAGAAAACACATGACATGTGTTGAGCTCTGCTTCTCCTGCTCCTTCCTGTGTGAACTTAGGCACACCATAAACCGTTCTGAGCCTCACCTTTCATCTCTGCAAAATGGGATGACAATCCTCACGTACAAATCCTCATTGATTTGGTCTGAACTCATACAAGATGATGGGCGTCAGTGCATTACCTGACAGTGTCATGTAAATAACAGACTGTTAACCAGTGCCACATGCTTTTACTTTGGGTGAAGAGAGAGAGAGGATATGTGTGTGTGTGTGTGTTAATCAGAAGACTTGCCTTTATAAGTATGTCCCTTAGGAAGCTGAATGAGAAAATCAGTTGCCTCTTTGAGAACCCAAATCTTTTTTTTTTTTTTTTGAGACGGAGCCTCAAGCTGTCCCCCTGGGTAGAGTGCTGTGGCATCACAGCTTATAGCAACCTCCAACTCCTAGGCTCAAGCGAGTCTCCTGCCTCAGCCTCCCAAGTAGCTAGGACCACAGGCGCCCACCACAATGCCTGGCTATTTTTTGGTTGCAGCCATCATTGTTGTTTGGCGGGCCCGGGCTGGATTTGAACCCACCACCTTAGGTGTATGTGGCTGGTGCCTTAGCCGCTTGAGCCACAAGCGCCAAGCCTGAGAACCCAAATCAACTGGAAGCCAGGCTAACCTTGTTGCCTCTTACCAGCTCCCTATCATGTTCAGTCGAGTCTTGTTAATTGCGTTTTAAAGGGCCCTCAGATCTGTTGCCTTCCTGGTCTCCACACTCAGTGCCTTGCGACAAACATGTTGTCCCTCACTAGATCAGCCCAATTGGGTCTCCTATCTCCATTCTGGGACCCTCATGAGTGTGCCCCTCCTACCATCAGGTGGGACTGTGTACTCCAGGGCCTGCCCTGGTGGGGTCCCATCTTCTTCTGCACTGCAGGCTCCTGCCACGCTCTCCTTCTAGAGGATCAGGGTCTTTGTTTCCCTAGCAGCCAGCACAGGGCCTGGAGCATAGCAGATGCTTCATAAATACTTGTTAGAAGGAAACAGCAGCCTGGGATTTGGACCTCAGAAAGATTATTAAGACAGAGAGTTGTCTTGAACTCACAAATTAGAGTCACCAATACTTGACCACATGTAGGCACTTTATTGAAAGTAAGTGGCTATTTTGGAAAATAAGGTGACCACGGTGGGCAGTCTGAGATGGGGTAGTGAGGGCACTCTGGGGATTGTCACTTGCTGTAGCTCTTAGAGCCTGGTCCTGGGACACCCAGGAGGTCTTCCCGCAGCCCAGGTCCAGCTGTCAACTCCTCCTCGTCACTTTCTGCTGGCAGCTCATCCTTGTCTCCATCTGAAACAGACAGGCAGGGCGAGTGGGTCCAGCCTGGAGATTTCTCCTCTCTGGTGCCTTCCTTTTGACCCACAGAGACCCCCACTTCCAGCAAGTATTCCCTGAAAATGGCCTCCAGAGGGGCATTTCTGGTGTTTGGGACACCAGATTCAGCACCCGTAGGTACGTACTAAGGATGTGATGGCACTTGAGGTCATCAACAGAGAGCTGCTGGGCCTTGGAATCTAAACAAATGTCGAGAATCTACAGCATGTGCCGGGCAAGCTCAACTCCCTGCCTGGTGCCCCCTGCAGGACTCCCATCATTCTGCAATCCTCTTCCAAGCATCACTTCTCCTGCCCCTCCTAGACCCTCCTGAGAGCAGTGGGTGCTCCCTCCTCGGGGCTCCCACCAGCGTGGGTGCAGAACCCCCTCACACCCCAGGAAAGCTGAGGGGCATCAGCTGAACGATGTCACTCACTCCTACTCTTCCGAAGCCTCCCAAGGGCTTCACGTTTGCCTCTGTACTCCCAGCGCCTTAGCAGGGTTCATTTTCTGTTCTAAACATTGCTCAATGGGAAGAGATAGAAATGCCCACTTTAACCCCACCTAGAAGTACCTTGCCAAGATTTCTACCCAGCCCTTTAGGGGCCACGAAGATGAGGCTCAGGATCCTCCTTTCCCTCCCCACATCCCTTCTTGCTCCATCCCCACATGTCATCTCCCTGTGTCTCTCTTGCTTCCTGTCCACTAAGTCCAGGAGTCCTAACTGTGAGCACCTCTGGGGCAGGGGGGAGCTTCTGGCAGTGCAGGCCTGGGCACAGGGGCCTGCAGATGCTGAAGTCAACCAGCAGCCCCCCACTCGGCCCCTGCACATCCTGGGCTCTGCTACCTGCTGTCGCCTTCAGAGACCGAATGTACTTGGACCAGAAGGAGCACTCTGCTTTCTTCAGGCCCTGCCGACTTGGGAGCAGGGCACTGAACTCCTTGTAGCTCTCTCCACCCGCACTGGGGACAAAGTCAGGCCAGGGGGCTGCAAATCCGGGGGCTTTCTGTGAGAACTCATGAGGGTAGTTAGGATTTCTGCAAAATTGGGAAAAAAGAAACACTCATAAGAGAAACTTGTCTTTCCTTTGATCACTTTCCTTATCACTTGGGGTCACTTCCCAATCACATCCTGCAGTGTCAAGGCTGGGTTTGGGCCCACCTGATCCGGTGCTGTGGTCTTTTATTTTTTTGAAACAAGAGTCTTACTCTGTGGCCCTAAGCAGAGTACCATGGTGTCATAGCTCATAGCAACCTCAGACTCTTGGGATCAAAAGATCCCCCTGCCTCAGCCTCCTGAGTAGCTGGGACTACAGGTGCCTGCCCAATGCCTGGCTAGTTTTTCTATTTATGGTAGAGAAGGGGTCTCATTTTTGCTCAAATTGGTCTTGAAATCCTGAGCTCATTCAAGCAGCTGCCTCAGCTTCCCAGAGTGCTGGGATTACAGACTGAGCCACCGCACTGGGCTGGGACTATGGTCTTAACTACAACCCTGTAGAGCACTAGGCTCACGAAGGCTTCCTGAGCTCACCCCTCCTAGGCCATTTCTGGGAAAGGAAAGATGTCAGGATGATGACCCACTTGCTTTACTTTGAACCTAACATTGTCCTCTGCCTTTGTGCAAGTTCAGGAGGTCACTGTGTCCCTTTCTGTCCTAAAGTCCTTTGATCTGGACACCATAGCCAGCCTTTGGAATCCCCTGTTTATTCAAGGCCTGGGCAGCCAGGAGGGTGGAGCCAGAACCAGGGAACCCACCTGCCACTCACAGGTCCACTCTTCCCCATACAGAAGTCATCTCATCCTCCCAGACACAGGCTCTTTGTCAAACATGCAGCCCAGCCCCTTCACCTTGCCTGTCCCCTTCATGGCCCACACACCAACCCCACTGGCCAACTGATATTCTCAAATAAGGCTGCTGTCTCATTATCTCATCTCCCCTCTGGGGACTGCCTACCTCTCCTTTGCTTATCTGAATATTCTGTTCATCCTTCCAGGCCCAGCTAAAATGTCCCTTCCTCAGTAAAATAAGTTCTAAAACCCTAATTAGAAGAAATGTCTTTTTCTATTTAACTCCCATAACAAACTACACAAAGCTTTATTGTGTCCTGCTTGGAATCATGGTTTAGTTTCTGAGTTTCTGGTTGTCAGTTGCTGGAGTTGGGCCATGACGTCTTTACCTTTCCAGGGCACCTAGAGCAGATCTAGATAGTCAACATGCATCTGGCAAAGAGATGAGGGGAGACAGACAAGCCCCCAAGACGAGGGCAGAGCAGGAACCAGGGATGGAACAGCAAGTGTGCTCGCTGCACAGGGGGTAAAGCCCAGTGGTGGATAAGCAGGGGCCTTGAGCATTTCAACCTGAGATGGCAACCAAGGCCGCGGGACTCCCAGGGGACACTGGACACTGTCTGAGCCACATTCAGTTTTCAGCTGAGCCAGGGTGGTTCCCACTGGTGACTAGTGGGTAGAGGAGAGGCCCAGGGTGCTTTTAAATGTCCTGCAATGCACAGGACCCAGCCAAAACTTAGCCGGCCCCCAGTATCAACAATGCTGAGGGTGAGGAATCCCGTCTTGAGCCATCAGATGTGTCTGTTCTGACTGGAGCCTTCTTTGTGGAGATCAGTCTACACAAAGGGAGTTTCAGCTAGAAGAGGGAGGCTGAGACAGTGAGACCCATGGCCGGTGGCTGCAGTGTTTGAAGTGGAAAGGGTAAACACGGGGCCTTTGCATTTGTACTGAAGCGAGGGCAGGGGAAGCGCAGTGGCAGGATCTGTGACAAGTGTCCACTTACCCCGATCGGATGAAGTTAGAAAAGTATTGCATGATTTTCAATGACAGGCTTTTCTCCTCCAGAGAAAACTGCCCGTCGTAGGCAGGGTGGAAGGGAAGCCCGAAGGCATACTGTACATCTGCCAGCACCCCCAGGCTGAAACATCACAGAGAAGCACAAGTTAAAAAATAAACTGCTCAAAACCCCAAACAGGCCAAAACCCAATGTCCCTCCCCAAATAAAGACTTTGCCTTGTTACATGATGTTCAGGGATCAGTTTAGCTGAGATCTGACTGGGCTCACACTTAGCCTAGTGGCCTCTGGGGGCACATTTATGGCACATTTGCTGGTGGACGTGTGATCAGTGCTAGGCACCAAACTCTCCTGAAACAAGGCCTGTACGAATTTTCCAAGAAAGTATTCTGTTGACTATGATAGACCATGACACTTACGATATCACTGGGTCTTAGTTCATCTATTCACTGAAAAAAATTATAATAAAAATAGCTTATATTTGAGGCCACCCTTGCTGGTTATTAACTTGTACCCTCAGGACTCTTCACAGGCTACATTTATCCATGCAGCCCACCCTAGTACAGGGCCTGGCACACGGGCATTGTTTAGTAAATACATATTATAGCCCATATTGAATATCTAGAAGCAGCACGCACATGGAATAGAGGCTTGGAACCCAATTCAGTGGCTTGATGTCCTAAAGCTGGCACCAGGGAGTCCACGGTACACTGGCGGGGGAGGCCAGAGTAGAGAAACCAGAAGGGATTTTATAGTTCCAGAGTAAAATTTTGGCTTTGCCTAGACAGAAGTCTGGCCTTTGACTTTGGCTTCTGGGAAGTAAGTGATACCTGACAGGAGAGTCTCTGTTTAGGGCAATAGTTAGCTGCTCTGGCTTTTGGGGTAGATATAGCCATACCCAGAAATCTTAGGGTGAGGACTAGCCACTCCCAAAAGACCAACCATGTGATTTAGACTGGGAGACTTGGGTCACATCAGGCGACCTGCATACTGGGTTAGCCACATGGGCCATCAGTCACACCTACATCACGTAGCCCCAGGAAAACTGTGAACACCAAAGCTGGACTGAGCCTCCCTGTGCACGTGCCCCACGTGTGGTCCACATGGATGCAGAGGGGGACTCAGCCTGACTTCCCAGGGAGAGGACAGTGGAGCTGCACATTCAGAGTTTCCTGGGTACTGGGTTCTGCCTCTCTCCCTTTGGCTAATCTTAACCTGAGTTCCTTCCCCGTGATGAATCATGACTGTGAGTATTGCAGCTTCAGCAAATTCTGAGAGTCCTTCCAGAGAGCTTTTGAATCTGAGGCTGGTTTGTGGAAGCCTTAAATTTTCCTGCTTATCTCAGAAGAAAGAGTGGTTTGTATAGAGACCGTGTCCCTGTTCTCTGACCTTGTTGGTGGTCCCAACTAATCACAAGAGACAGACTCTAATTTTATAGACCAGGAAGATGAAGTCTGGAGAGATTTCTGGACGTGTCCAGGGACGTAGTAAATAAACAGCAGACCTGGACCACGATTGAGGTTTCTGGTGGCAGGACGCTGGGCCCAGCAGCTACCACACCTGGGTTCTGCCTCCCCAGCCTTCAAGGTGGGTGACTTCTGGCAAATTCTATGACTTCCCTGACTACCTACTTGCTTACCTGCTTCTCGGGGTAGCTGTGAGGGTCAATGGAAGATGTTGTGTGCAGAAGTACTAAAAAGGAAGTAAGTGTGGCCCAGCTCTTTCTTGCCACATCACTCTGCTTCCTGATGTATTCGTCTGTCTTTAAGGTAATAGCGACATCTCTGACCCAGGGGACAGAGAGTCACTAGAGGTTCTCATTGTGCTGATATACCAGGCAGATGCATTCAAGGGACAGATGCTCTGGGGAAGGACTTGAACAGGGCGGCTCCCAAGCAAAGGCGATTTATGTGGAGGTTAAATGATACGAAGTCAAGTTCAATGTTGCTTGGATGAAGAGTTTGACTCTGGATGAGATCCAGAATGATGCAATGTGACTGCTCCAGAGGCTGGGAACAGGGTCCCTTAGCTCAAGCTTTGAAGGAAAATATTTCAAGTGAAGAAGGCACCTTCCCTGTTGCCTCTGCCCTGCTCAGGATGGTGACAGTGGTGACAGCACGAGGTGGGAGCCCTTCCTTAATACTGAGGCCTGAGGACTCACAAGCCAACATTCCTGCTACAACCATAAGAATTATCTCCAGATGGATGTGTGACTGGCAGCAGGACACAGAGCAGACCAAACGCATCACTCAGCCGAGACTCGGCCCTGTAGCTCACTGCTGGTGTAACTTGAGATGAGTCCTTTGACATCTCTATGCCTCAGTGTCCTCATCATAAAACATCAGGTCTAACGTGCTATTGCATGTGGAAGCTCCGTGCGGCTGGAGGAGTAACTGTCACCATCCACAGACTTTCCCTGGGATGGCACAAGGCTTGGAAAGATAAGTGACATGCCCGAGACATAGGAGAGCCAGGATTCAGATTGGATCCTCCTGGGCCTCAGATCCAGAGCCCTGTGTAGACTACCCACAGGCGGGGGACCGAGGATTCCTAATCTCAGCATAAGCTGTCAGTGGTGTTCTATGATCCATGAGGGGAAAGGAACACAAAACAAAAAGTTCCAGGCAGACAGAAGTTGTCGTAACAGTGGCAATAAAAATAATCTCGAGCGTAGATGCCAAACTGGCAGTTTACAAATCACTTTCAGCCTTATCATCTCAACATCCCTATAAATATATATTATTACTCCTTTCAAAAGAGGGGGAAACTAGGCTCACAGAGGTCCTTTTCTTGCCAAGGCCCCAGGACTGTTAGTGGTGATGCCAGGACTGAAGCCTCGGTCTGCACACTACCCGGCTGACCCCTGGCCTCGCCGTCTGGGTTCTCTCAAAGCCTCATCACTTGTCTTGTTGAAGGTCTGTACTTTCTCAGTCACCACGTCCTTTCTGCGCCGGCCACTGGGAAGCCAGGAAGCCCAGGGTTCATAGGGGCCACCGCTCCTTTCTCCCCCCAGGCAGTGTTTGGTGACTTTCACCCCATCAGAGCTTGAGTCCTTCCTCTCTCAGCAGGGCGGAAGATGAAACAGCCTGTTTTCTGGGAGGCCCTTCCAAGAAAGCAGCTGTATTCATTTCCCATTGCTATACTAAGGAATTGCCATGCTCAGGAGTATAAAACAGCTCACGGGACTCCCTCCATTCAGAAGTCCAGTGTGAGTCTTATTGGACTAAAGCCCCAGGGCCGCAGGCCTTGTCCCTCTGGCAACTGTGGGGGACAAGCATTTTCCTGCCCATCTGGGCTTGTAGCAGGACTCTGTTCCCTGAAGTGAAGGGCCCAGGTCCCCATTTTCTTGCTGGCTACAAAGGAAGGACCATTCCCAGCAATCAGAGATGCTGCCCAGGCCACTTCCTCCATCCCCGAGTGGCCAAGTCCCCACCTTGTCTCTCTCTGCCTCCCTCCTCTGCTTTGAGGGGCTCATGTGGTTGGACTGGGCCTACCAGCTGATTCCCCATGGCAGGGTCCTGAACCTTAATCACATCGGCCACGATCCATGTAAGGAAACGTGTGCACAGGTGTCAGAGGTTAGGACATGCTCACTCTGAGGGGCCAACATTCTGCCTACCCAAGCGGTCTTGTCCACTGCTTCCTCCAAAGAAAGCTGTCTTTCCACGCATGCCACTGAACAGAGATAAGCTTCTGAAACCCAAGTGGTCATTTCAAATCCCAGCTCAGTCACTTAGTATCTGCACCATCTTGGATGAGCTATTTTACCTCTTGGGGCCCCTGTGTCCTCATTTGGGAAAGGGTGAATGAGGTTTAGCAGTGGAATATTTCAAACCTCTGACCCAATTCCTTGTTTAGATGTTTATTCCTTTTCCTTCCCCATGAGAGAAGTTTGAAAGCTTACAACTCAGGGTCCTCAGCTTGGGACAGGTTTATTATAGAGCTTTAGGGGTCTCCAGGTTCCTTAAAATTGCATGTAAATGTGCCAAGTACATAGGTGCATCTTTCTGGAAAGATTCTTCCTAGCTCTTTATTACTTTCTCAAGAAGTCTGTGCTAAATATGTGCTGGCAAACACTTAATAATTAGCTCTGGGGGAGCAGTTAGGGAATTGGGGAAAGGTAGTAATATTTGCCAATTCTCCTGGTGTAAATACTCCCCCCAGAGCCAATTTCAAACTACTAAAGGGATGTCCCTGAGCACACCCATTGCTGTGTGTACAAGTGGCTTCTGTGGAATAGTGAGCAGGCTCTAGGCCACCCCTGCTGAGATCTTGGAGGGAGCACTGCTGTGGGGAAGGGCCTGGCATTCCAGCCCAGAGCCTGGACAGGGTTTCTGCTTTGTTTCTTCCTCTGCAGGGCTGATCTCTTCCAGGATGTTGGAGTTCTTTTGAGCACTGCAAGGCAGACATCTGGGGGAGGGACACACAGTGGGAGCCTTGGAAGAAGAGGGGATTTGGGATTAAGGGACCAAGTCCTCAGCACTGTGGGCACTGGCTGAGAGTCCCAGGATCCTGTGGAGGAAGAAGAGGGAATTTGGATTGTGCATCAGCAGAGGGAGACCTGGAAGGACTCTCCAGGGCCCGACGAGGTGAAAGGAGCAGTGAACTAGCTACACTGGCCTCATGTCTGCAGGCTGGGCAGACAGTTCCGCATGCTGGTCTGCTTCTTTGCTTTGTGCTGTGTTTTATCCCTGATATCACAGGCCCACACCCAGGGTGTGGGATCAGTGCATGTCAGGCTGGTGTCTTTGGCTTTTAATTCTCATTTGCCATCTTGGTAATAATACTCCAGGACCAGTGGAACTTGGCCCTGATCTGACAGCTACACATCTTACACCCATGTGAGATCTGGATCTTCTCATTGTCACATGGCAAGCTCAGCACACATCCCACTTCCACCACTGACTCTCCAAGCCTTTGTCTTCCGGTCACTAAAATGGGTCTGATCACCCCTGTGCAGGGGCCACATGGCATCACTGGATGCTCATATGGTGGATGGAAGCTTCTTTAAAAATCATACATTGCCATTGGAGGAAGAATTAATGTTGCTGATGTTGGTAAAGTTATATTTAGGCAGAGTGGAAAGAACTGACTGGCCATATAGCTCCAGGGATGAGTGTGTG